GCTTCGCAAAAATGTATGGCTGTACCAGTATGCTTTTGCCGTTTAATTTCAGAATTTGAAAAATTCGCGCATGTGGGTCCGGGATCTGTCAGTAATGAGTGCCGAATATGGCGATAACAGATGGAGCCACCTTGGTTCGATGCCGGGTGATTTTGAACGAGGGACGACCCTTCGAGCCCAGACCACAATTGTACAGCGAAGAGGGATGCTCATTTTATTGCAGGTAATGTTTCAATCAATTCAGTTTAGTTTGTCAGATTGGTGTGTCACTCTTTAACATTTGTGAATCTGCTACGAACAGCAACAGAGTTAATCTGTGCAACAGCTGGCTTTCTTAATTCATGCTTTTGTCATATACTAAATACCATACACTTGCTGTTTTCCTTCTCGACATTTTCTTTTAATTTTCCCTTCCACTAGCACGAAAAAAGAAATATCTGAGAATATGGTACTTCAGGCATTGATTTCTTCATCCATACGTCCTAGTAATAGAATCCTTAGCTTAGCTTTTCCTAGATCTTAATCCACTGCTCTGGCCAGCACCACTAAAAAGCCAATTATAACAAAAGAAAAAACAACTAAACCTTCATTTTGCACAAAAAAATCAGACTACCAATTTGATCATTCAGTCGAATTTGACAGACGTTAACAATGATACTGTAGCGGAAATCTCAGAAAGCCGGCAAAAATTGTATTTGTTGCACAATAGATGCAACATCTGAAGATACAGGGAATCAAGTATGGGGACGGATTATAGGTACTGCAGCACGTGCGTGAAGCACAAGGGCTGATGGTGTTAGTGGATAGCACGCAGCACCCAAATGTGAAGAGGAGTGATTAAATTCCTTTCGATTCTATAAACATTTTCGAAAAAAAAATCCATTCGCAACGGATACGATGTCAGACTTACCAATAGATGCAACTCTGGGATAGAGTCTGGAAATATTACTAAATGAGAAAGTGCAGGAAACTGGAAAGAAGCAGGGCGGCAAGTAGGGGAAAAATCGTGACGGTATGCATTCGGTTCTATAATGCATCCAAATAAATGTGCATGCCTACCAAAAAATCCTTTTACTGATTCGGTCTAAAAACTTTGATTTTTCTTTATCCTTTATTTCTTAGTTTTCTTAATGCATTTTTGCGAAGAGAGATAGCTGTGTTGTGTTATATGTCTGATTCAGCCTACGTCGGAAAATGAGGGGCTCTATCGATGCTTGGATATGGCCTCCAGGAATGCAATGCATTTTGTGTATTATCTAATTGCGATGGAGCCACCGTTTGTATATCTCAAGTGATATTCACTGCCTTGACTTTTCTTAATCTTGTGAGCAGAGTGGTCTAGTGCAAGGTTACTTGCGTAGATTCCGAGTTTCACATTTTTCGGAAACAGTCAAATGGGAGATTTAACATCAACACATTCATTCCGCGTCAGAACACTCAACATCGACAGCGCAGCGAAAATTTTGTCTGCGAATTCTACAGCAACATCTTGGTCATCTCTCATGACTGGGGGTGCAGTTTGGTGGGACCACAAGCTAGAAGAGGAGATGTTTTGAGTTTTGTTCTAGGAGTTTCTGATAGAGAAAGGTTGGTGGTTTTTTGCTTTGCCTCAGGAGAACAGATGATGACTGTACACCTCACGCAATATATATTACCACAAATCGACGCTCTAGTTATTGGCGTCGGCAGTATTTTCACGAATTTAGGCAACTCTCTGGAGTTTCTGCTCGCACTATCATATTGTTGGAAGAAACTTCTTCCAGCTTATCGTGTTTCCAGTTCTGTTTTTGAAATTTCCTAAATTCAAAAAAAAAAAAAAACCACGTCAAAAAACATTTCTGGTTTTCTGCAAGTATAAGTAGCTGTTGGCAAAAATCTTGAATTCGATATTTTCAGCCCTGGCGGAAACGAACAGTTCTGGCAACTTGGTGAATTCATGCTTTAATTTCTCTTTATTCATAATTGTTTGCAGACGTGCTTGTTTTACTTATACACAGGCAATAATAGATGTCAGTCAAAGCCCACTTTACGGTAACGTTTTGATATAGCCACGCTGACAACCATGATGGCGGTAGCAATAGCATAACCAATCTGTTTTGCACAGACAGCGAATGTCCGTCAGCGCGTGGCTTTGCGGATTCGAACTGGCTCTTCCGGCATGTACCACCAACCTACATACGAGATGCTTTCCGATGGTGTACCTGGAACTGGACGACGTGCATTGACTGGGTATTACATATTTCGGTGGTCTATTCAAACAGCAGTGAGAGAAGTGTTTTTCTTTTCAGAAAATGAGAGCTTTTATTTTATTCTGCAAAAAAAAGAAAAGAATTTTGCATTGTCGTTGAAGTGCTCAAAATGCCAAATCTCACAATCGGCATTGTATTTACTGCAGAGAACCCTGCAGAATTCGTAAAGTGTGCTTGCAACCAGTACAAAGGAAACGGGATTTTAAATCCACAAAAGAATAACTGGACGAAGAAAGTGCTCTGCTTCGATTCGAAATGAAACTCCAGAATCAGTCCCCTGTGTACTTGGGCAGCTATGTTTATTGGAGACAAAGTTGGGCATGGAGCTAAACAGAAGGCAGTGAAGAGAACAGATAATCCTGTCCGAATAGCAGGACGTCTTTTTCAGCACTAACATGACAGCTTCATATTCCGTTGCCACCAGTTCTCTTCTGCACGGATGCAGCAGATTTAATCAGTTCTGCAGCAGATTTACAGCTTCTCTTTTAACAGCAAACGCTGTTTAAAACATGTAACACACCAGTGCACTTAAAAAA